CAGTCCCTGTGCTTCGCTAAGCTTGTTCTAAGTAGGTGCTTTAGACCACTGAGCCATCTCACCAGCCCCAAGGTGGCTACTGTCTAAAACCATTTTTCTCTTTGGTTACGAGAATACAGGTCATCAATAACTTCTTATATAAATAAGAACATTTCCTGGCTAACTGTTAAATCCTTATTGTTAACGGGTTTTTCTTTTTTCTTTTCTGTATTTAGGACAGGGTCTACAGTGTCTCACTATGTAGATTGGACTCGTAGATCAGACTCGTAGTGATTCTCCTGTTTTCAGCCTCCCAAAGCCCTGGGGATTACAGGCACCGCCACTGTCCAGTCTCAATCAGGTCTCAGCACACCCCAGGGGGTGGGGCCAGCATGACATGCTGGGATTAAACCTGGCTGCTACACTCTGCCTAAGCAGGCGCTTTAATCCACTGAGCTATCTGGCCAGCCCTTTATTTATTTTGAGACAGGGTCTCCATATGTAGCTCAGGCTAGCCTTGAACTCACAGCAATTCTCCTGTCTCAGCCTCCTGTATGCCACCACACCCTGAATATTTAGATTTAAATAACAAGAAATTACAAATTATACAAAAGCAATCATAGTGGGATTTATTAATTCATTAATTTATTTTCCTTTTTGTACCGGGATGGAACTCAGGACCTTGGGCTTGCTAGGCAGGTACTTAAGCCACTGAGCTATCTCCTGGTGGGATTTCTTAAAATAGCTTCTCACCTCAAAGAACCAATATCAAGGAACAGAACTAAGTAAATGGTACCATATTAAATGACATTAGGAGAAGCCAATCATATGCAGAGACTGTGATTAAAACAAAGTACAAAAAAATGTATCTAGAAAAACAGGAACTGTGTCAACTGTCAGGACTGTCATTATAGGTAATTTATTTTCCATTTTTATTCTCCACAGTTTAACATATGGTGAAAATTTTAAAAATCAGTCAGATTTTATTAAATATTTACAACAAGTATCTAGGAGAAGTTAATAAAACAATACATATACCTACCTATGAGTTAAAAGCACATGTTATTGCTACAGATTGGGAGGTGTGTCAGAGGTTAACGAATCTAGGACCGGGGCTGGTGAGATGGCTCAGTGGTCTAAAGCACCTACTTAGAACAAGCTTAGCAAACCACAGGGACTGTGGTTCAATCCCCCAGCACCACATGCCAGCCAGCCCCACCCCCTCGTGGGCTGAGCTGGCCACACACACCCACACTCACACACACACATAAATTAAAAAAAAAAAAAAGAATCTAGGACTTATGGAAGTTAAATGATAAACCACTATCACATAGAGGAGGATTTCCACAGACCCAAGAATTACCGTTAAATGGGTCATTTCAGGGAGGCTTCCCTTTGCTTTCCTAGATTAGCTCTGACTTTTCTACTGCTCTTGTGGATTAAATGAGTTAAAACAGGTAAGTACCTAGCACTGATACATAGTATGTGATTAGTAAATGTCAGCCACACAAACTGCTCTAAGAAAGTTTGTATCTTTGACTGTCCATTCATTTTATTTTCAAAGAGAATAAAAAATAGTAATAAAAAATCAGAAATGATACAAAATTTCATAAGCATCTGGCCAACGGACTAGCCTGGACAGTGTATAGTCAAGTGTAGGGGCAAATTCCATGGAGTCAGACATACCTAGCTGTGTCTTCCCTTGTTTCTGATGCTTCTGAGGCAGCTAGGACCCCAATCTGCCCCTGCCTTTTAAGCCATTTGGAGTAGGTGGCACTCTGGGTCATGGGATAGTTCCTCACTAAGACACACCTTCGGCCTCATTCCTGACTCTAACATCAACCCTAACACCATTTCAATCTCCAGATCAAGACCCTTAAAAATTTGTAGTTAGTCTCTTATACACAAACTCAGCTCTTTCTGTTTCTACCTGGGCTGTTATCTTTTCATACTTATATTTGTCTCTTTTGTTTAGGCAAAAAGTGTAAGTATTTCATGTCCCAGCTTCCCACACTCAGCACACCCTAATCATTTCGCCTGGAGTTGATGCCTTACCACAAGTTCCTATAGAAAGGCAGCTGGGCAGCTACACAGTTTTCTACTACAGAAGTAGGTCTCACAGAGCTGACCAAGCAGGAATCTCTGCTTCCTGGACCCAGAGGTATTCTGAAATAGCTCAGTAAAGGAGTGGCTATATTTGGTTAGAAAGAAAAAGGGGGCTTGAGGACTCAGAGAAACACTAAAAATAGAGCCGGGGAGATGGCTCAGTAGAATAAGCGCTTGCCTGGCAAGTGGAGGGTCCTGAGTTCAATCCCCGGTATTGAAAAAAAAAAAAAAAGAAAGAAAGAAAGAAAGAAAGACAAAAAATAGTGGCTAAGTGGCCAAGACATAGGGTTATCAAGGAAAGCAAAATTCAACTCAAGAGTCACAGCACTCTGTCCATGTGGGGACCTTCCAGGTTACAGGCAAATATTGCAGAGCAGAGCCACTTAATAGAAAACAAAAACAAAATTGATACACGATTATTAATTTATGAGCAAACTGGAAGTCTGACTGTTGTGGTCACACCTTTATGTGCAACCAGGAAAGTACAGTGGCCAGGATCTATTATAAGCACTCAGTAAATACTTCTTTATTTATTTATTTATTTGTATGTGTGTGTGTGTGGCCAGCTCAGCCCACCAGGGGGTGGGGCTGGCTGGCATGTGGTGCTGGGGGATTGAACCACAGTCCCTGTGCTTTGCTAAGCTTGTTCTAAGTAGGTGCTTTAGACCACTGAGCCATCTCACCAGCCCCTCAGTAAATACTTCCTGACAAAATGAAAAAGTGACTAGGGAAGCAGGCTGCACTGGCAATGGAAAGAGGTCTAAGGCACAGAAGCAGCACAGTCTTCATACACTCTTGAGCCTCTACTTTCTTAGTCTTTCCAGCCCACTTACCTCAAAGGATGCCCGGGGACACGGCTTCAGGGGTAGGTTTGTCCCAATTCTTCTCACTACACTTCGAGCAGACCCATACGGCTTGTTTTGCCAGATTGGGATAGTCTAGAGCAGAATGACAGAGACAGCCACATCTTCAGGGACAATGACTCCAACTATGTGTTTTTGTGTTCTCCTCTTCATCAAGGAGAATAAATTCCTCACTCCAAGCATCAGGGCCCCCTCTGGGAATAAATCAGGTCTCAATTATCAGTGAGAGCAGGTTCTCCAGGTGCCAGCCTTCACCTGCTGCTGCTAAGTTAGTCACTCCAGGGAGGGCCCAGTGAAAGGCTAGCAGTTAGCTGTTACTGCAGGAACCACTGGGGCTTCTCTCTGCACAAAAGGCAGAAACACTGACTTCTGAACTGACCCCAAGATCACAGTAGGTTTCCTGGGATAGGAGGTGGAAGGATAGTCTTGGTTCAATTCCAGGGTTTCGAGGAACAGAAGAATGAACTGGAGTCTCAGGGCCTTGTACAGCAAGCACTTCAGCAGGCCCACTGCTCAATGATCCCACATTCCTTATCCCCACCCTGGGAATACCCCTTACCACATTGGCTTCCATTCCTGATACTTCAACCAGCTCCTGCACTTGAAGGACAAGGCGGCCTCAGGACACCTTGAAGAGGCTGGATGTGGGACTTTTTCATATCAGGCCATCTTGAGGAACACCAGATTTTAATCCCTATGAAACAAGCCCCACAGCAGGGACTTAGCAGCCAAAACACAAGCCCACAAAACCAGCCCCTGGAGACAACTGAGACCTCTGATGTTTTATAGGGGAGGAAACCAGCCTAAAAGGCTGCCTTCTATACCAACTTACCTGGGTTATGTTCTTTCTAGACTTGCTGGGTAAGCTTGGCCAACCCAAGGAGACTTCTGGGGCTCTAAGGTTTCCTGAGGCAAAACTTAAAAGAGCAAAGCACAAAGGTGCATGTCTATTATAATCTCAGCACCCTGGGAAGCTGAGGCAGGAGGATTACAAATTACAGCCCATTTTTGGCAACTTATTGAGACCCTTTTTCAAAATAAACTATAAAAAAGTGCTAGTGGTGTAGCTAGTGTGAATACTTGGGTTCCTCCCCAGTATTGCAAAAGAAAAGGGGAAGGGGGCTGGTGAGATGGCTCAGTGGTCTAAAGCACCTACTTAGAACAAGCTTTGCAAAAAAGCACAGGGACCACGGTTCAATCCCCCAGCACCACATGCCAGCCAGCCCCGCCCCCTGGTGGACTGAACTGGCCACACACACACACACAAATAAATAAAAACTAAAAAAAAAAAAAAAAGGGGTGTGGTGTGGTGGAAAGAGGGAGCCAGAGGGGGAAGGGAGGGAGGGAGAGAGGGCGCATGTGAGTGTGAGTGCTCTTGGTAGCTACAAAGTTCATGGGAGAGCCATACTGAAGGTACCATTCAAGCCCAGTATTCCATCTTTAAGATGAGACATAAAAACACAGTATTTGCCACCCAGCCTAGCAGTGCTGGGGTCTACAAGCAGTACGAATCATCAGGCAGCTCATACCAACTCAGTCTACTGGGCTACAAAAGCTAACTTCTCTCTCATCTCCTCTTTCCCCTGGCTTAACCACCTATTGGCTTTTGTGACCATAGTCAAGTGTCATGTAACCTTTTTGAATGACCTTCTGACCTGGCACAAGGTCCCCCAGTGTGCCAGGCTCTCCACCTATAAAAAGGAGACAGGAAAAGCTGCCACTCTAGGTTGCCTTAAGGATCAGTGAAATGCAGTATTTGAAAGTACTTAACAAAATTTTAAATATGACACTGATGGGTGGAGTCAGTCCTGACTGCACTCTTCATAGCTGTCTTTGCATGAAGAAATGCAATCACTGAGCTCATGTATACTCTTGTTGCTCAAAAGCTAACAATATTTTAGTGTCAGGTCTTGTGCTAGGTACCACAGGGTTATGAAAGGCATCAGACAGTCACATTTTCAAGGAATTTACAGTCCAGGAGAGGCAGGACCTGGACACTTTATTCTAAGGAAGGCTGAGAATAAGGCACACTAGGCAGCTGGCCAGGTAAATTCAATGCCCTGGTTCCATGGTGAGTTCAGAGGGAGCAAGAAGGCAAGAAAACAGCATAAGCACAGGTGCAGCACAGGAAGCAGAGGGATCTATAACGCTGTAAAACCAGTAAAGCTGTGTTGTCAGCTCAGGCAGGCAAGGAATGCTGGTTGATAAGTCGCTGGGGAGCCTGAGCCTGGACTGATAGCTCTCTAGGGACCTCCTTTGGAGTGTTCCTTTTTTACCTTGGGAAAGGAGGAGTCATTTTATGAAAAATGGAAAGATGGAGAAAGGTTTTAAGGCCACTCAGTGGTCATGCAATAAATAAAGCACCAAAAGTCAGGTCTAGATTCTGCTGCCTCTGGCACAGGCTCCATCTTTGTAATTCATCACAAGCCCTTTATCAAAGTCCCCCAGTGTGATCCACATGTCAGACACTGACAAAAGGATGTACAAAAGGCAGTACATTCTCAAACCAAAAAGCTACAACTCTTGTTGCATAGGTTCTGCTTCACCCTGGTCTTAACCATCTAGTAGAAAAGTTTGAAGATGAAATATAGGAAGTAAAGCCATGTTGTTATGTTGAGCTGTGGGGGACTCACGTCAATAATTTCTGACATTGCCAATTAAAAAGAAGACCCAATGCTATTATGGGCTTCTGTACTCTTTTAGAATATTTTGCTGAGTTTACACACCTATAATATTCAACAACGGAACTTAAAAAAAAATTGGGGTATAACTATAAATGTCCATTTTGTATCTGTGTATTCAAAGTGGTTGGGATAGATATATAGTTGCATTCTCTTAATGAATAGAATGATTTTTTTCTAATGGTGTTTGTAAGTAGGATCACAAGTCTGCATCTTGTACAGCAATTAACCACTAAGAAGAATATATGCAGTGTATTATTTGTTGAAACTGTACTTTCGATTTGATTTGAAACTGTCTCATTGCTATATGTTTATCAATAAAACTTTGAAAAAAAAAAAAAAAAAAAAAGGCAGTACAGGGCTACAGGATAAATCCTGAGAGTACTTGGCTGACCTTATCAGATACAAAAGTTACATTTCTTGGTATATAGGACTTGCTATATCTTGGTCTTAACCATCCAGCAGAAAAGTATAAAAACGAGGTATATAAAGTAAATCCATATTAATACGACGAGCTGTAAAAGGCTCAAGTCAATAACTTCTGAGGATAACCCACTAATATTATAGACTGCTAGACAGTGTTAGATTGTTTAGTTGAATTCAAACACCTATAGTATTTAGATGCCGATAGACTATTCACCTCTGACAGGACAAAAAAAATTAAAATTAAAATTAAAAAAAGATACAAAGGAAAGATCATTTTGTATTTATATTTATAAAATAGGATAAATTTACAGCTACTTTTGCTTAACTCAATGAGAAGACAGAGGTGTACTAACAGTGTTTGGATACTGTACTATGGATAACCACTAAGAAGATAACAACGTACAGTGTATTGACTATCAAAACTGTCCTATTAATCAGCTGTGAAACTGTCTCATTCCTATTTATTTCTCAATTAAAAAAAAATATATATATATAGTCTCCCAGTGTGCCATGCTCTATGCTGAATGTCAGTGCCTATGAGAAAGAAGTTCACTTAACAGCGCTGTTATGCCACTTGCTCTCTGCCTCCCCTCCAAAGACTCAGCTGGGCCTAGTCCTCTGAGGACAGCCAAAGGTATCTTTCCAAAACACACGGCTAATCATATCACTCGTGTTTAAAACTGGCTTGTAAGGGTCAACAGGATATAATCTGGACTCCTGGGTGTGGGCCAAGGGACTCCAGCCCCATTCTGCCTGCCCTCTAGACCAAGCTCCTGGCAAGTGATGAGGCCTGTAGTCTGGCTTCACATCCACACTGCTTCCTTCTCCTCTGCCCTCTGCCCTCTGGCCGCTGTCCTACCAGCCCTCAACACAGAACCTCCCAGGCCCTGTTCTACTACTGCTTCTGCTGGAAACACTGGCACCCGCGCCCAAAGCTTATTCTGCATTCCCCATCAGAGTTCTGTTGAAGCGCCACCCTCCGCACCTGGCGACAGGCTCAAGTCCTCTCCTCTTCACCCTCAGCAGGTTACCTCCCCTTTGGAGGCCGCTCAAAACAGAAACTAAATAACTCGGTAACGCGTGGTTGAACTGCAGGCCCGAGAGTACCCCGGGGCGTCGGCCTGCACGCTTGACATCCGTGGAATTCAGGAAAGAACAGATACAACTTGGCTCGGTTCCCGCCCCACGTGTCACCGTAGGAGGGGCTCCTAGTCCTCTCAACAGCTCGGGGCTGCCCAGGCCCCCTCTGCCGTGGCAGTTAAGACGCGTCCACGCGCGGTTTTCCGAGCGAGAAGCGAGCTGCTCCGGAGCAGGACCTCATCTCCGCGGCCCCGGCCCGGGCGCTCCACGAGGCCGCGGCGCTCTGCGAAACTTTGCGAGTGCACCCGCGCGCGGCGTCTGTGCGGGCCGTGCGCGAGTCAGTCCCCTCGAGGGGCCCAGCAGCCTCGCGCGGGACAGAGTCTCTGGCGACCCCCGGTCGCCGCCCACACCCGGGCCAAGGTCGGCCAAGTCCCCGTCGCCTGCCAGCGGCCCTTTGCACCCACAGGCCCAGCGACGGGATGCGCGGGAGCCCCTGGGCTTGACGCAGGGCAACCTGTCGCGGAGCGCGGCCACCGTGAGAAACGTCTAGTGTGTCTTGGTCCCTGCTTGCTCGGTGACTCTGGCGAACAGCTACCCCGCGACTCCGTTTCCCTTGCCAAATTATAATAACCACAGGGGCTCCCTCAACTTGTACGGGGACAGGGGCCACGGGCTCTGCATAGAGCTGCGCAACGAGCTCAGCGTATGGCCAGACGCCTAGACCTCGCTCCCGCCTACCGGCAGGCCCTCCAACCTTCTCACCTCAGGTTCTGGGTCCCGGACTCCTTCACCTCACGGCCCCTCCTACCACAACGGGCCGCCCAGCCTCCGCCGCCCTCACTTCCGCTGACCCGCCCCCACCGGAAGCGAGCGTTGCAGCTGCGCACTGAGCACCCGCGGGAGGCGGACCCAGCGAGGGGGCGGAGCGTGAGGACACGCCCTCCGTCGATGCCACGCCCCCGTAGATGTCTTTGGCTTGGGAAAAGAAGACTGAAGGTGCCTGGAGATCCCTGAGCCCTGATTAGTCGCATCACGCCGCTATCTACGCTTTGCTCTCCCTGAAGCTGAAGCTTGTATTGCTGCTCAGCCATAAAATAGGGGTGCTGTTCCTATTTCTATGCAAATATGTACTGACCACTCTTCGATCTGGCATTTATCTCTCCCGCCTGTCTCTTCCTGGTTCTCTGAAGTCTTCCTCCAGCAAGAATGAGTTTGACTCATACCCTCCAGTGCTTTGTAGTTTTCTTCTATTTTAGCCTCTATCTGTCCGCCCCCCACTTCACGGTATATTCAGTTTGCCGATTAAAGGGCTAGATGGCACTGGGGGACGATCCACATTCCTTCCACTCTGTGCTCAAAACCTTCACCGTCCTGTCTCCATGACATTTCTGGGCCACATTTCCTCCTCTGCTCTCAGCACATGGCTTGTCTGGCTCCCAGGCTGCAGTCCTTATCTGCTGGGGACTGCTGGCTTCACGTAGAACAGTCTGTGTAGTCACAACAGCCCCCACACCCAGAATCCTACACTTGGTTTACTGCCCTGCTGTTACCGTCTTTATAGTCATGCATGCCTCATAACAACAATACACTCTGAGAAACGCATCCGCAGCTGATACTGTTGTATGAAAATTACATAGTGCAGTCGAACAGACTTACATGGCATAGCCTACTAGCCATCTATTGTTCCTGATTACAAGCCTGTACAGCATGGTACCAAGTACTGTAGGTAATTATAATAATGGTAAGTATTTGTACATCTAAATAGAAAAGGTACAGTGAAAGGAGTAGGAGATACAGAAATTTTTATCTCCATTATAATCTTAGGGAACCACTATCATATATGTGGCCCAGAATTGATCAATAACACTATTATATTATGTTTAAAACAGGGGCCTTGCCAGGGAGATGGCTCAGTGGAATAAGTGCTTCCCTGGCAAGCGCAAGGGCCTGAGTTCAATCCCTGGTTCCAGCAAAAAAAAAAAAAAAAAAAAAAAAAACAGCGACCTTTCACTGTACTTTCATTTTACACTCAGCCCCTCAAATTAGTTAACTGGTCTTTGTGAGAGATCTAGAGGTCAAGTCATCTGTCTGGAGCCCCATGGTATTCAAATGATGAGGGTTGATTTCCAAGTCTAGTTCTCCAAGATGGCAAACTGTGCTTTAATCTTCACTTCCCCCTCTTGGGCAATAGGAGAATATGCAAATCTACTCTCTTGGTGATAAAAGTTGTTTTGATGTCCCATTCGAGTCCCCTTGCAACAAGGAGAACGGCCCCTCCTAACCTGGGAATTTTCTCTACTTCCCCAAGTCATTGACCAATATAAGGTACGAAAGGCTGGTCTGACTGTGGTGTGGTTTATGCTCCAGAGCCCTTCCTAGTGGGTCAGGTCAGTGCTGGGCTTTGAGACTGCTCAGTGTTTTTCCTTTCTCTCTTCTGCTTCAACACATTCACAAATGGGTCCTAAAGTGTGCTTCTCAAAGGTCACCCAATGCTTTTCGCAAGCTCTGCTTCTAAGACAATGGGCTTCACTTCTGGATCTTTCTAGACACAGGGCACCAGATTCTCAAAAGGATAAATTCTATTACTTGGTCTGTCACAAATTTATTTTAGGCAAGTTACTCAAATCCTGTGGTGACAGACAGGATACACCCTGAAGACACCCCAGCACAAATCTGCCCTTGTCACATTCCTCTGCCCAACTGCCAAGCCAGGCATAAAAGAGTAGGAGGTCAGGCCAAGGAAGGAACAAACGGATCATACTGTTCAAAGGAAAAACACTGAGAGCTACCCTGGTCTCTCCAATTTTATTATAGGACATGTTAGAGTCAGGTGAGGGAAGTGGCTGAGAGGTGACAAGAGTCCAGCTGGGGACCCTTCCCTGGCTGGGGATGGGCAGTAGCATCAGATGAAGAAGATTCCAAAGGCCCAGAATTGGGGGGTCAGTCCCCTAGGAGCAGCATGAGGGAGGGGAGAGGCTCAGCTGAGGCTGGAGGCTCCAGGCAGAGGTACTGAGACACTCAGGTAGCCTCCTTCCCTGGATCGGGCAGGAAGTGCCATCTCCCAGGGCACAAAGAACATGGCTGAGTTCGAAGGCCGTGTGGAGTTCAGAGGAGAATGAGAAATGATTTCCACCTCAGTGAAAACAGGCAAGGAGAGAAGTGGGGCTTTGAGGCCAAATAAAACACCCCCAAATCAAGACACAGGCTTGGCAGTTACATGTGCTTTTGAGTCTCAACTCTGGCACTCTGAGTGACCTTGGTCACTTTGCTTCCCTAAGACTCCCATCATTTGCAAAATGGGAAATTTGTTGTAGAGATTAAATGAGAAACTACATGTAGTTTTAGCAAAATGCCCCAGGCACAGGAGGCTCTTGGTAACCTGCTGCTATTGTTATTATACCTAGTACCCAATGAGGAACAGGACTGGCCAAGGCAGGCTCCACATGGGGACACCGAGGGCAGTGCAGGGGACTTAGCAGATGCAGGGACAAGTCTGCCTTCTTCCTCAGGTTTAAGATGGAGCCCCTGTTGGGGTGAGTGGATGGGAAGAGTCAGGCATGAGGAGGACAGGCTGACTCCAAGGCCTTCATTGGAAAAGCCCAAAGACACCTTCTGGGCCTATGTGGACAGAATAGAGCTGGGGGTAGGGTACACTCATTCTCTGGAGACTTTAAAAATCCAGAAGAGGAGATGGAAGAGTGACTACTGCTTCCCATAGGTGCAACTGCAAAGGCATCAAGCTAGATCCATCTAGGATTTCAGACCCAGCCATCATAGGGCTGCTGCTCCGGGAGCCATTGCTCTCTTCTTTCTCCTCAGCACTATGGTTATAAAAAAATACCTACAAACTGTGAGAAAGTTCACATAAAAACACTTTCCTGCATGTATAAAAAAGAGACTGGCCATAGTCAGTGGCTCAGGACCTGGACGAAGGCCCCAAGAGTGGCCAAAGAGAGTTGGCAAGTGTCCCATGGTGGACAAGTTGGCCTGGTGTGCTCCTGGTGGTGGGGGTAATGCTGGCTCTGGTGCAGGCTGTTCTTTGGCTGGACTGTGGTTCCATGGAATCAGGGACGGAGGAGAAGGAGGCTCCAGGATGCCCTGGATCCTACAGTCTGGCTATGACCTCTGCTAAGATAGGTGGTAGGAGCATCTTGGCTCTGGGTCTCAGGGCCCTTCAGTGAGTCCTTCCTAATGGCAGAGTCCTGCTTCCTGGGAAATTTCTCAGTCCCCCCCCCCCATACAGGTTTGAGGGCCTGACACAAGGCCTGCCGAGTCATCTGGGAGCAGCTATGGTACAGTGCTGTTCTGCATTGGCAGGGGGTTCCGCACACAGGCTCCAGAAGGCTGTCACCCATTGAGACTGACCTGGTGGGGACATCAGATACAAGAGGGTATGGCTAGCAAAAACAGCTCTCTGTAGACAGAAGAGCTGCAGGGCCTTTGGGCCCCCTGGCTGTGGCTCCTTCATGTTTCCTTCTGGAAAGAGTAAAAGTCAGATCTTGAGTAGCTTCTGGAGCCAGCTGAAGAGAAAAGGACTTGGGGGCCACAAGCTCATGGTTCACCCTCCATCAGTCCAAGCCCCTTCAGTTTACCCCTAATCACCAAGGCAGAACTGGGTGGCCACCCTCAGTTGACCTTGGACCCTGTGAAGCAGTTTAGGGTGAGGAAGGGTTAGGAGCTTCTCCAGTCTGAAACGGCTGCGGACCACCCAGCCCTGCTCCCAGTGGCCTGGAGACACACTAGGACTCAAGGAGGGGTAGGCCGCGGCGGAGACCCTCCTTCAGGAACTGCATGTAGGTAGCTGTGGATGGGTCTTCAAAGGTGGATGAGAAGCTGAAGATGTTGTCTTCAATATCCTCAGTCTTCATGGAGGTGATGTCCAGGAAGTAGTTGGCATTGATGTGGTGGACCTGCGAGAAGGGCTGGGTGAGTAGAGTCAGGAGGTCCTAGGCTCGCTGTCTGGGGAGAAGCAGCTCTCTCAGGCCTCCACAGTCCTTGCTCTGGGAGGTATTTGTCAGCAACTGACCCAGCCTGGGCTGTTCTGTCCCTGCTGTCACACGGACAGAACAGCCCCTGTGCCCTAGGCAGAAACCTAACATCTTTCAGTGTCACTTTTTCCCCTACTCCTGTGCCTCAAAATAGCCCCTCTCCTTTCTGCTGCTGTGACCTCTGAACGCCACATGCGCTTTTAAGAATGTCCGGTACATGGTGGGTCCCTCTTTCCCATCCACCTTTGCTTCCCTGAGGGAGCAAAGGCTGTGTCACTGGCTGCCTTGAGGGCAAATCTATGTCTTTATCTTTCTGTGCAGAAACCAGAAGGTTGCCTGGAAAGTGAACAAGTGAGTGAGGGGGTGGCTGGGGAAACAAGCAATAGCTGAGCGAGAAGCGCTCTGGACGCGCTGAACGGAGACCCCAGGTGATCACATCTGTGCTCCTGCAGAGCCCTGGCCTGTGCTGGCACCATTGGCCGGGAGGCCAGTGATACCTGCACTCGGCCTGGTCTCCCAGCTGCCCCTCCTCCCCGTTCTCCACATCTGCAGGGCCCAGGTTCAGCCCTCTGCACCTGGGACAGCAGAAGCCTCCTGCCTGTTGACTTTCCTCTCCCCAAGCTCTTCCTGAGCTCTCACCCAGCCCCATGCCTGCTCCTGCACTGCTCCCACCCTAAGCTCCAGAGGCAGCAGACTGCCCTCGTGTGGCCCTGAGTCCCACGTCAACCACCCCTCGGGCTTACGGGGCAGAGCTGGCTTCCCTGCAGGACCTGGAGACTTATGCAGGCCCATGTCTTTGAATCCTTTGAACCTCACTTTCCTTTCATATAAAGTGGGCATCAATGGTTACCCATCTCTTGAAGCTGCTGTGAGGACCCAGTGAGAGGACGTGGGTGAGAAAGGGCTCAGTGGGAGAGGTAAAGTCTTGAAGCCTGGCCCCGGCCAGCTCTTCCACCCTGTCTTCTTTGGCGGCCACTAGGTCCCACTCCTCCCTCCTGCCAACCCAGGCTGGCTGTAACAGTCCCAGGAAAGTTCTGCTGTCTGGGACACGCTTCTGTCCACCAAGCAATCTGCTATACTTGGAATCACACTGACCCCACTTCAGTGTGGTCCTGGGGTTCTGCTTCTGGTGGGTGTGAGCCAACCCCCGCAGTGGCATTCCTAAGCTATCAGTGGGGTTAAGCTGGGGAACCTGCCATCTGTGTCCCTCGCCACCCCACAGTGCCTACCACAGTGCCGTTGGGCAGGCAGATCATCATTTCCACGGGGAAGCTGTACTTCTCCAGGTGCAAGCCGGCCAGCTGCCTGTGGGACGGGTTCTCCTGGCTGTTCTGTGGGGACAGTCAGCACACACACTCCTGATACCTTGGCCCCCAGCACTGCCCCGGAGCCCCTCGGGGCTGTTCCCGCCCACTTACCTGCAGGTCCTCCAGTTCCTTCACCAGGGACCAGGTGCTGATGAAGCTCTCATTGAGAAGGGTGAGGATGGGCGAACTTTCCAGGACAGTCTCCCGGAGAGTCCGCCCCGAACCTGTTCAGGGAGAGGCCAAGGCCTGAAGGTGAGGTGCCCCAGTGGGTGAGGTGCCCCACATGTCTTACTGGGGCTTCCAATCAGCAGTAATCTAGCTTTGGGAAAAACGCATGTGCTGTAGAGTGGTCCCTGTCCCCAGGTGAAATAAGATTCAAATAACACACCTACTTCCTGGGCTGAGACTTGGCATGGGGGTTCTACATGGCCCAGTGACTTACAGACAGTGATATATCTTTTTTTTTTTTTTTTTAATTTGTGTGTGTGTGGCCAGCTCAGCCCACCAGGGGGCGGGGCTGGCATGTGGTGCTGGGGGATTGAACCGCGGTCCCTGTGCTTTGCTAAGCTTGTTCTAAGTAGGTGCTTTAGACCACTGAGCCATCTCACCAGCCCACAGACAGTGATAGCTTCTTAAATCCACTGAACTCTGTGCCTCTGCATGCAGACTACCCAGCATCCTCTTTTTTCTGTTGGGTGACAAATTCCTACTCACCCTTCAAAGTCTCAGCTTAAATTTCTCCAAGAAGCTTTCCCTGACTCCCAGCTATAAACTCTCACGTCACACTGGACTTTACCTTATATCTTACTCATGGTGACAGGACTTACTTGTGCACCATCTGCCTTTGTCCCGCTCTGGGAAACGGCAGAGCCTAGCTACTGCCCAGTATGGCAGGCACCAGAATGTGAAGACCAGAGAAGGGAGGGGCACTGTTGTACTGGTCTCTGAACTTACTGCTGGCCACCCAAACAACGTTGCATCCAGCGGGTGTTTGATGATTTTTTTTTTTCTTTTTTCAGAACCGGGTATTGAACTCAGGCCCTTGTGCTTGCCAGGGAAGCGCTTATTCCACTGAGCCATCTCCCCGGCCCCAGTGAATTTTCTGAATAAGAAACACAAGCCCAGGCTATGCTACTCTTGTCTCCCACATTTGTGGCTATCACTTTACAGGGTACAAGGTCCTTTCACATCCCTTTTCTCAATTCTGGGGGTATGAATGTTAGCCCCCCACCACTGCTAAGAGAACAGGCTGAGGGAGCAAAGTTACCAAGTTGAAAATGGCTGAATGTGAACCAGTCTGCCAGGGCCCCCTTCTCTTCACCCAGCACCTTTCTCTGAGCCTTGCACAGGATCCCCCAGCCCTCTGCTCTGGCTTCCCCCGGGAGGTGCCTTCCTGTGCCCACTAGTGTGAAGTCTCCCCCCTTTTCCCCCTTAGGAGTCACCCATCTCCCTCACCTCAGCAGGACTGGTCGTCCAGGGCCCCCCACAGCAGGATCGAGTGCACCAGCTTGTTCTCAGCCTTGGCTCGGTCGAAGGCCTCAATGAATGGCAGGTAGGTGACCTGAGGTAGACAGAGCTTAGCTACTGTGTGTGGCTGGGGTCCTCTTTAGGGACTGAGTATACATACATATGTGAGCCTGTGTCCATGCACGCGGTAGGTACGTATGTGTGTGTGTTTGAGGAACGTAGCTAAAATGGCACCTCCTCTGCAGTCATAATGGCACAGGGGCAGCACCTGTGCCCCTGCCAGCCCTGTGCATGCTCCAGTGTTGGCACCCACAGCTACTACAGTGCTCCCAGCCTCAACCCACAGAGCCCAGCCCCAGCGTCCCCTAGCTTGGCCTCACCTTCTTGAAGGGGTACATGGCCACCTCCAGGCGCCGGGCAGCCTCCTCCCAGCTCAGCTCCTGCTGCCACCTGATCTCCTCAAATACAAACTGGAGGGGCTCCTCTGAGGGCAGGCGACTGTCAATCATATTGCCGTCCTGGTCCAGGATCACGGAGGGCACGGAGGGGCCTGTGGCTTCCAGCTCCATCTGGGCCAGAGGTCAGTGGTAAGGGAAGTCTCAAAGATGAAGGGTGCTCTTCTCCCCGGAGAGCTGGGGCCTGGGCAGGGTCCCACTGTGGGCTCACCTGGGGGATGTAGCCGATGTCCACCTCCATGCTGCTGCCCTCACCGGCCCCGTACAGCCACTCCATGTCCACGTTCAGAGACCTGGAGAAGCCAGCACAGAGCAACATCATCGTCAAAGCCCGCTACACATGTCGGCCTTCATCACGGTAACGGACCACAGTCCCACCTGACAGGTGAGGCTGCAGAAGCTTTGCGCAGTGCCCAGCCGGCATTCTTGCCAGGCTGCCCTTTCTGAGACATTACAAAAACAGTCACTGGCCCAGCTTGGGATCGTTCACAAGGGCTCTCACGGCATGTGTGCCCAGGACCATTTGGGGCACACACGAGGTCAGTGCCTCCTTGCAAGAGACGGCATAGAGCATCACAACGCTGTATAGCCCACCCTGTTCCTCTCCTCCAGTGGGTAGCAAGTCTGTTCAGATTAGTGCAATGCACAGATGCACCACATGGGGGCGCCCCAGGATCCGTTACCAGCTACCCAGGCTGCAGGTAGAGTGGTGCAGGTGAGTGGGATGCTCTGGGCACTTGGCCAGCCCTGTGGCCTGGGAGCAGGTGCATGGGCTGGCCGGCTATCTGCCCTTCTGGTTTATCTAGACTAGAACCCAAGCTGGCTGGGTTGATCCCAGAGGGGAGGTGCTCCTTGCTAGGGAAGGCCATAGAGGAACTGTGCTTCTTGTTTCCCCTTTGGCCTAGCATGTCCCTGCCTGCTTCTCTGAGCAGAAAGTGAAGCTGCTCCCACCCCTAGATTGACTTGCTTTTCCCAGGTTACCCCAAACATTCCCTCTCTCCTTTGTAGGTGAAACAGGCCAGGAATCAGCCGCCCACTAGCTGAGGAGAAACCTGGGGCTCAGAGAGTGCCAGGGCTTTGCCAGCAGCCACACAGCACATTATTGCCATGGCCAAGACTTAACTAGGGGCCTCAGGGCTCCCAGCTAGGGTACGCATGTCATGCAGGCCTGCTAAGTGGCCACATGGTGTCACGGAGGAAGCTCTTAAAAACTAGGCCTCCTGCTCCACTGTTCTGCTGACAGAGGACAGACCCATAGCAGGCGAGGCAGACAGGTAGGTGGCAGAGAGAGTCCTGGGCTAGAAACTCCGTGGAGACTCTGCAAAGGTAGGGGGTCTGCCCCAGGCCTCTGCACGTGCTGTTCCTGATAACTAAGACCCTTTTCTTCCCAGGTCTCTGTGGTGCTGTCAGCTCCTCTGGGAAGCCTGCCTGGGCTCTCCCCACCCCCCCAAGCCCTGCCTGCCTACTGCCTTCCCCATGGTAGCACGAGCAGGCTGTAGTTTCAGGTTGGCCTTGGGCCTATCAGCATAGGAAGGTGGGAGACACTAGCTTTAGGGAGGGCCTGCCGGCTGCTACACTGGATCCCTGTGTAGAGCAGGAGAGCCAGGCTCAGCGGGTTTGATGAGTCTGGTTTGATGGTGTGACCCCCCTCATCCCACCTCTCATCCTCTCCTTCAAGGCAGTGCCAGGCCCTCCCAAGAGCTTTCTCTGGGGAGAGGAAGGGGCAAGAACTAAAGGGTCCGTGGGGCACTCTCTTGTGAGCTCCTGCAGCCTGGATGTGAAAAGTGGTAGCAGGGTGCTGTGCTCGGCCAGGGCTAGCTCCCACCTGTGATTGGGCACAAAGAGCCGGAAGTCGCGGATGTGGGTGGCGTCTTTCGACAGGATGATGTGGCCGGTGAACTGACCCGGGGAGAACCAGAAAGGGAAGTCAGGGGGCTCACTGAGCTGGAACTCGGCGTGGATCCTGCGGGAATGGGACCAGTTAGGCTACAGCCCTTATGCCTCTGTCCCCAACCTGGCCAGACCGTGTGGGGGAGAAGACAGGACAGGAGGTGGGGGGCATGCAGGGCAGGGGAAAGTTGTGGCCCCCAAGAGCAGCTGTGTTTGGGATCAGCTGGCCTGCTGTCTGCTTGGGAAGCCCTGCCTTGATCCACCCTGACCTCCCACAGCTTCTCCAGGCTACCAGCTCCAGCCTAAGCAAGTTCCATACCTTTCCCACCAAATCCACCAGGGCCCTATGAGCATCTGATACTACCTTTATGCACAGACAGCCTGAGGCACAGTGTGGGAGTGGTGGGGGTGGGGGCTTCAGGTAGGCCCTCCCTTGGCAGCTCTGCACCTCCAAGCTGCCTTGAAGTCCCTGGCCACTGAGGCCCCCTTACCGGAACATCACAGTGTAGTAGGAGTCGCTGATGGCAGTCAGGCAGGCCACGGCCCCCTGGGGGGCAAAGCGGGTCTTCACGAAGGGCCGAGGGTGGAACATGCTCAGGAGCCGGTGGATGATGATCTGGGGGACATAGTGGGGACAAGAACATGGCTAGGCCCTCTGCTCCTGAATCTGCCAGGGAAAGTCAGCCCTGGATTCCAGGGAACCTGGGGAAAGGTCCAGAAGGAAGCAGGAGAGCAGGTGGGCCAGGCCTGGCACTGGGTTCAGGAGCACATGGGGAAGGGCCTACTGGCTGAGAGACCCGGGTCTTGAGTGGTTGACCTTACCTCCTTGCCCTTGGGCGGTGGTGGGTAGAAGCGGTTGTTGGACAGATAGCCTGTGAAGACACTCAGCTCACTGGGGATGATCCACCAGGGCTCGCCCAGCTCCTGGCCTTGAGGGGGAAGAAAGGGCCGGAAGTGGCGGGCGGCAAACACCGCACTTGGTGAAGCTGCAGTTGTCCAGTTGCGGAGGCCAGACAAGGCGAGATGGGAGATCTGGGACAGGAAAAGCCCAGGATTTAGGGCACCAAAGATCATGGATCTGGGGTGGTTTCTCATCTTGGCCTGCACCAGGACTTCCTCAAGTCTTGAGCCAGACCATAGGTCAATGGAGTAAAGAGAACCCAGGGAGATCCCTTTCCTGGGCATCCATCAGCTTGGTCCTGTCCTGACTAAGATGAGAAGGGCTCATCTCACCCTCCTAGGCCACATCAAGAGAAGCAATGGCTGGCTCTATGGCCCACTCAGACCCAGCCCAGCTCAGTCAAGGCAGGTGGCCATGAGAGCTGGAGGGCCTTTCCAGGAAAGGAGGACAGGGGTGATAAAGCTCTGGGACCCCCACAGATCCTATCACTATCCTCTGCATAGACCAAGCCCGGCTGTCAGCACCTGCTCCATGCCACCTGGTGGCTCTAGGCCACCTGACCACTCTGTGAACCTGGCTCTCCACTCTAATCTCCCAGGCTCTCCCAGGAGCTAAAGTCCTACTGACAGAATTTGTGTTCAGTGCTCAGTCTGATGGTAGATATGGCTAAGAATCTTTGGGTAAAATCTTGAGTCAAAATCACAGGGAAGGGGAAGAAGGTTGCCCCCAGAAGGATCTCCCCTTGAGTATCACTTTCCCACCTTGCCTGGGTACCCTGCACCAAGGCCTTCCCTAAGCCCATTTCCTCTGAGCTCAGGATGGGAGGGAAGCAGGGTGAGAAGCCACAGGGCTGGCTACATTGTGCCTCCCACTCAGAGAAGGGGCCCTGGAGCAGAAGGGCCCTTGTAACCATCCATAGCACCTCCCTGTCCTTACGGGGTACAGGCAAGAGCTATATTCCTTCCATGCATCAGCCAGCAGCTACCCTCGGGAGCTTAGCTACCAGGGAGCTGCCCTTTCTTTCATGAGTAAGTCCCCTGTCTGCAGGAGCCAGGCTCAGTAGGAGGTGGGGACAGGAGGAAGGAGGTGTGAGGAGCTCCCACCTATCGGAATTCACAGACAGGACTACAAAGCCAGACTGGGCCTCTCACAGGAGAAGGTGCTGCCTGCCCCTGCCCCATCTCCTCTGGGAGTGCTGCCTGCCCCAGGTGTTTGTCCCACCCCTTCCTCATCAGTCTGAGGGCTCATCTACTAGAAAGCAGAGCACATAGCCACTCCAGACCTTTCTGTGGAAGACTGATGGAGACCACTGTGAAGCAGTTCTGATCAGGACGTACTATTAACCAACTGGCTTTTCATGTTTATGCGTGAGTTTGCCTGAGGCTTAGGCCCTTGTGTGCAGATGGGCAGTGGACTCACAGTAAGTGAACCTCTGCGAGTCACTGTCCCCCACTGAGGCCCACACTGGCTTTTGAAGTTGGGAGCTCAAAGGACAAGATAAGGCCACAGCTGAGGAAGCTTGGCTCCAACCACAGTTAACCAAAAGGAGACTGCAGCTGCAGCCTTCTCACTCCTGAAGGCCTTCCTGGTGATGACAGACTTCTTCTAAATTAGCATAGGTATTACTTGGAGGAGTCCTTGAAGGGATTCCCAAGTCTTGCCCAGATTCCGGCACTTTCTTCAGTATTCTCCTTTGTTTGATAACATAATAAACATGGGCTGCCTAGAGAAATTCTTTGTCTAAAACCCCAGAAAAATCTCAAATTCTGTGAGAGAGTTTTTGAGCCTTCAGGAGCCCTGAAATTATACCATTTATCTCATTTTCAAAAAAGCCTTTTCCATCCACTCCTTTGGGAGATTCGGAGCCTGATCAGTCCACAATAACTAAGGGATATTACTAACTTGACAGAACATCAAATCTTAGCTTCCAACAATATCTACCCCCCACCCCCAGCCCAGCCTTTGGCATCTCAACTTCAGTGTGTCCAAGCTGGTGTCAGTCCCCAGCACACGCGCCAGATCATCCCCTCGCACAGTCCTCATCTGGGCCAGCAGCCACCGTGTACTGGTCACCTCTGGCAGCCAGAGTCCTCCTCCCCCTCTTCCCCACAGTGACACACCCTGGCCTTCCTTTCCCAGCATCCTCCAGGCTGTGCTTGCTCTGTGTTCCTGGCCTCCTCCCACTCTGGGATCTGGTCTGCTTGCTCCTGTCTCTCTCTGGCCTATCCATGTCCTGTCCTCTGCCCCGTGACAGCCTGGAGAGCATGAATCTGTTGTGGGGACTCTTCTTTTCAAAGTTGGCTGGGGTGTTCTGCAGCTGCAGAATAAGCCGAAGTCAGACCACCAGACCCTAGGCTCTCTGGCAACTTCTCTCACAGCTGCACTGACCAGGATGACCCTGTACATGCCCTGGTCCAGCCGCATCCCAGCACTGGCCTGCTATGTCTGCCTTTGGGCTTCTGCTCATGCTGAAGCAGCATTTCGCCAGTGTAGGTATGGGCTGGGCACAGAAAAAAGTCATCCCTGGCAGGGGGAATGGCAATGAGCAGGTTCCCAGCACATAAGAAAGGCTGGAGACATGGGCAGAAGGATGGCTGGCATGGAGGAAACTGAGTGGGTGGGAGAGAGGGTACAGCTGAGCAGGGTCAGGGGAGGCTTTGGCCCTGGGATGTGCTGAGGCCATGTCTACAGGGCCTCAGGGGCTGGTGACCCTAGCCTGAGTCTACTTCCTCCTCCTTGGCCCTCTCCCCCTGGCAGGGGCTGAACCTCACTAGTTCTAGTTCATCAGAGGTCACCAGAGGTCACCAGAGGACCTGCTACAGCCTGGTGAGAGATGGATGCACAGTCCTCACTGTAAGCAGGCAGCTGCATTACCAGGGCCAGACTCCACCCCGCCCCCTCCTCCCCTGTGGTCATCTGTACCTGACATCATTCCCTCCAGGAAGCCAGCCCACACTCCTCCACCTCGAGGAGGGGCATGTGGTCTGTGGACCTGGACCACAGGGAAGCACCACACTCAGATTCTCAGACACGGCACAGCGGCACCCAGAAGGCAGCTGGCAGAAGAAGGAAACAGGGAGGAAGCACAGTCCCCTCCTCAGGAGGGAGCACACCAACCAGGTGGTCCTGCAGACTTGTCTGCCTGTGCGCCACCCCTGTCCCCACTCACCCCTAGGAACCCATCTTTGCTCTTTGTCATGGTCTCCGGGAGCAGAGGCTGGAATCGGGCTTCTATGGTGAGGGTCTCCTCACTGGGGTCGGCGGGCAGCTCCTCCTCCTCATAGCTGGCTGCAGGTGTTGACCCTGTGAGATACAGAAGTCTGCAGAGGCCTGGCCCTTGGGCTGCAGGTCCTCACTTCTCCCACGGTGTCCCCACTGGCTAGTGTTAAGGGAGCCAGGCTCAGAGCTGGGATAATAGTGAACAATCACCAGAACAACAGGCAGCATGTATTGTATTATAGTTATACAATGGCCCTGGGAGGCAGACCATAACATCATTACAACTCTATTTTACACACGACAAAGTGGAGGATCAGAGTCACTTCCCCAGGGTCACACAGCCATGTAGCAGGGGACTCAGCAGGGAAACCCAGGCCTGATTTGTTCTAAATCTCCAATCAATCTTGACCCTTGTCTGGGTCTTGGGGGACCGTGAGGGACTCAGTCAAGGGAAGTAGAGTGAAGAACGAAAGCAAGAAAACCAGGTGTTTGGGTGTCACTGAGAGAGCACTCGTGTGAAGTGACAGAGCCTGTGGCTCCTCCTCCTGCACATGGCCTGGCTCCCTTCTGTATAAGGAGGGCTGCGCTGGGCACTGCCAAGTGTGTCACTGTCTGGTGCAGAGGGGGTCATCGGGAGGCTTGCAGGAGAAAGGCTGCCCCTTTCAAAAGGGAGAGAGAAACACTGTACCAGTGAAGAGGGTGGGGCTTGTCCTATGTGCTCTCCCAGGGCAGGTTCAAGCCACAGAGCCCTGCCTGGTACTGGTGGCCTTGGTGGCTGGCTGGCGGGCTGCAGAAGTACAGGCTGAATGGGAGCATTCAACACAGCTCTGACTCCAGTCATCTGAAGCACCCATGGTGCACTTCAGATGCAGATGGCCTGATCCCAGCTCAGAATCTACTGGGTCGGGGCTGGTGAGATGGCTCAGCGGTCTAAAGCACCTACTTAGAACAAGCTTAGCAAAGCATCAGGGACCGCGGTTCAAACCCCCAGCACCACATGCCAGCCAGTCCCGCCCCCTGGTGGGCTGAGCTGGCCACACACACACACACACACACACACACACACACACACACAAATAAATAAAATTAATTAAAAAAAAAAAAAAAGAATCTACTGGGTCAAGACCCGAAGGCAGGAATCAGGAACTTGCCCAGCTACTCTGGATGCAAATCTCTGTTCTAAAATGCACTATTACTTCTTGAACTTATTAAGTCAATGCGGTCTAGCATTCTCAGTGACCTGGAAACTTGAGCAGAAGCAGGCAATAATAAAATGCAGCATTATTAGTCTGCTTTGCTTGTTCAATTATTTTACTATATCACAGATAATTATGAAGACTAATACACAGGTTAGTCAGGCACAGTGGAGTACTTGGCTATAGGCCCAACTATTTCGGAGGCTGAGACAGGAGGATCTCTTGAACCCAGGAGTTTCTGGCCAGCCTGGGCAACGTAATAAGAACTCATCTCTTTAAAGGAGAAAAAGTCTGGGGATAGAGCTCAGTAGTAGAGCGCTTGCCTACCATGGACTTAGCCCAGGATTCCATTTCCAGCACTACAAAAATATAATGAAAACAATGCCAAAGGGCCAGGGAGTGGCTTAACTGCCTGCCTCACAAGTGCAAGGTCCTGAGTTCAATCTCCAATACAAAAAAAAAAAAAAAAAAAAAAAAAAAAAAAGTGTGGGGCCAGGGGATGGCTCAGTGGAATAAGCACTTCCCTAGCAAGTGCAAGGATCTGAGTTCAATCTCCGGTTGCCAAAAAAAGTGTGAAAAGAACTCCAGCGTATCTACCCCTTTGATTTTTTAAATAAAAATGTTATTTTCTGGCTGGGGAGATAACTCAGTGGTCTAAGCACCTGCCTGATGAGTGCAACGACCCGAGTTCTATCCCTGGTAGAACATGCCGTGCTGGCCACCGAAACCAGGCATGGTGGCACATGACTGTAATCCCAGTGCGGGGGAGGCTGAGCCAAGAGGATCACTAGGAGTCTAAGCTGTGTAGTGAGACTCTGTACCAAATAAATAAATAAATAAATAAATAAATATTTTAAAATGTTATCTTCTGAATTATAAATAGCACTTACAATTATATCACTGTAGATGATTTGTAAGAATCTTACAGTGTAAAGCAGAACATGAAGTACATGCATAACTACCAGCTAGAGAGGGCTGTTTGCTTCTATTTATTGCTTGATTTTGCTTGTTTACTTGTTTGCTTGTTTTTTGCCTCTGGTTTCTCCAAATATGGTCCATTGCTTTTGCATTCACAGATTAGAGGCAGTGGATGGATTCTTTTCTCCTGACAGAGATTTATTCTTATTATTATTGTTGTTGTTGTTGTTTTTAATTTATTTATTTGTGTGTGTGTGGCCTGCTCAGCCCACCAGGGGGTGAGGCTGGCTGGCATGTGGTGCTGGGGGATTGAACCACGGTCCCTGTGATTTGCTAAGCTTGTTCTAAGTAGGTGCTTTAGACCACTGAGCCATCTCACCAGCCCCTTATTATTGTTATTATTTTTTTTTCTTTTTAAAAATGTATTTAGCACAAGGTCTACAGGGTCTTTGCACAGATTGGACTTGTGGTGATCCTCCTGTTTTCAGCCTCCCCTGCCCTGGGATTACAGGCGTATACCACCACACCCGAACTCGGTATCGGGCTCAGTGCAGCCTGTGGCATGGGGGCTCAAACCTTGGTCCCTGTGCTTGCCAAAGCAGGCACTTAGGTCTGCTAAGCTATCTTGCTGGCTCCTGAGAGATTTAGATGAAAACATTAAAAGTGTCCTAAGGCTGAGGATATAGCTCAGTGGCACACTGCCTGCTTTGGCAAGTGTGAGGTTGTGAGTTTAATTCTTGGTACCAAGAAATAAAAGTGTCCTAAGCCCACGGACTTTGCTAACATGCCATTACAAGGGGACTCTGGCTCTCTGATCACAGAAAAGGACAGGAGGGGACTGCATAGCTGCTCAGAGAAACATCCACAGAGTAAGAGGAAAAGGCAAAGCCAGAGGTGCGGCCTGTTCAGCTGCTCATCTGCTTTCGTGACAGACCTGCCTGCCCTGAGACACAGGACACAGCTGCTGCGGCAAATCTGCCTTTCCTCTGACCTTCTAGTGCAGCAGCGACAGAGACCACTCAGCCAGCAAGTGCCCAGTCTCCCCACCCATCTCCGAAACACAGAAATTCCGCATGGTACTCTGGGGCCGCCATCTCTCTTCACGGTCCCATCTACTGACTGACTTCCACTGGGCAATCTAGATGATTGCTGTGTGCCAAGATCAGAGGTCTGAGGGAGGTCCCAAGAGGTTAGATGCCAACAGATACGGAGCTTGAGGTGGTGGGAGAGTGTAAGAGAACCAGCTTATAATTCTAGAATGTTCCAACCTCTCATCTTTAAAAAACAAAACAAAACAAAAACCATCACAACTAGGCAAAATGGATAGCAATGGACAGCAGCTAAGCAGACTTTTGGACCAGGAGTAAGGGTCACAGCCCCTGTCTAGGGACTCCCTGCTGTGTGCTGTTCACTTTGCACATAGCTTCCCCTTCTCACCTCTGTGGCTGTGCCACATCCTGGAGCCCAGTTCTAACCTGGTTCTCTAGCTTCCTAGCTTGGGCAAACTTGCCCCTGGTCTCCCAAAGCAGACATCAGGCTGGATATCACAAATGTCTGGCTCTCAGGGCTGGGGCAAAGTTTAAAGAGAGAATGCACATGAAGTACTAAAGTGACTGCAGCCCCAAGCGCTGGTGGGGGAAGGCAGGCTGGGGTGCTGAAGCAGCAGGCAAGTTTTACAGTCACCTGCCAGTAAGTGTCAGGCTGGTTTCCTTGGCCACTGCAGGCTACCCTCTTCCTGCAGACACCTTCCTCCCCGCCAGGCCTCTCTGTACCTGTCAGCTTCTCTGCGATGGGTTTGAACTCTTCAGGGCTGAGGTGCATATCCTGGTCAGTGTCCAGTGAAGAGAAGAGAAAGAGGCCTTCGGTTCCCAGAGCCTTCAGTGCTGATTCCTGCTGGTAGGCAGGGGCTGGGTTGAGCACCAGTTGGGTGCTTGGATCTCCCTGTCCCAAACAGGCGATTGGTTTCTGAAGCAGCAGCTCATCTTCCCTGAGTTCTCTCCACACTTTCCCATTTGTCCCAGTGGCACTTCTGAATAGTCCCAGCTCCCACATCCCCTTCCCAGGCACCGCTGGTCCCTGCTTCACTCTGCGCCTCCCTAGAGGGTCCATTCTCCAGTGTGCGCCTATCCTCCTCCCTGGTCCTGTGTCAGCCAGGCCCTGCCAAGGTCCCCTCCTGCCTGCCGTCCCCAGGCCCCTGCGACCCCAGCCCCCCACCAAGCTCTCCGGTCCTTAGTCGGGTCATGGTCCAAGGGGTCGTCTCCGTGGCTCCCCCAGTCTGGAAAGCCCTGTCGTGCTCTGGACAGTCCTTTCCCCTGCCCGCGTCCTGCCCAGCGCCCCTCGCTTTTCTTTGCCCATCCCTGCGTCCTAGACCTGCCGCGCGGCCTCCTGGGCCTGGATGAGGTGGGTGTAGACCCGGGCGGCTACAGCAGCGACGGCGGCGGCCAACAGCGCTCCAAGTAGGGCCAGGGCGCGCGCGCGGTGGCGGGGCGGCGCAGCGGGGCCGCCGGGTCCGGAGCCGGGTTGCCCGCGTTCGCCAGGCCGGCTCCGGCCCATAGCTGCAGCTCTGCCGACTAACGGGCCTGCGGGCGGGGCCGGAGCGGGGGCGGGGGCGCGGGCGGGGGTGGGGGGATGGGCCCGGGCCCCCTGGCGTTGGTGCGTGAGGCTCTGCAGGCCCCTTTAGCTTCTCCGCGCCTCTTCCTGGACCGCAGCCCCGTACGCCTGCGCCAGTCCCTGTGTCCCAGCTCCAGGCTGTGACCCGGACGCAGAACACAGAAGGCGCTGCGGCCGGAGCTCGGGAGAAGCCTGCAGCCTGCAGGTCCACTGGGGCCACCGAGGCCTTGGGTTCTTTGTTGCAAGAAGCTGGTGGGCTTCAAGAAGTCTCGTGTCATCCTCGCAACTATTTCTGCAACATCTGTAGGCATCAAGAAGGGGAAAAACTGAAAAGGAAGTCCAGGCCCTGGTCCTTTCTAACCCAGTTGGAGGACTGCCTCTATGGGTTCATCACTGGAGGCCGGGTGTGTGTGGGGTCTTTCTGTTCCAGCCCACGCAGGTGGAGAAGCCTTCCCGTGGGGCAGGGGTCCTCCTGCATAGGAGGCCAGAAAAGGCCCTGTTCATGGGCCCGAAACTGTGGCCACTCTGCAGGTGGCTAGGCCTCTGCAAATTACCCGCACCCTCCTCCCTGCTGGCCTGGCATGCCACCGGAGTGGCTGTTCCCTTGAGCACTTGGCAGCTTGCAGGAGGGCCTTGGGAGTGGAGGCAGAGGAAGTGTTTTCTGTGTGTCCATCCCCAGGAGCCCTGGTTCCCACCGCACTCTTTCCACTGTATCCATCCCCAGAGCTTGTAGCGCAGCTGCCTGCTCTCTCCCCAGAGAAGGCCTTCGCTGTGAAAACTCTGACAAGAACACAGCCCAGGGGAGTTAAAGCACAACGCCCCTTTGGCGATCACAACCAGCTGTCCGTGTGGATGCTGCTGTCAGGTCTGGGCAGCCGGAGGGGTTCAGTGGATTTCAAGGCTCTACTGTGTACCAGAACTGGACTGACAGTGTTCCCTCATGTTGTTCTCAGGCCACTGAGTAAGGTAAGGGTTGCCCGCTGCTCTGTAAATTTGAGGAGTGTGAGACTGGGAACCAGTCTATCTGAGTCTAGAACTCTTGCCATCCATCCTTATCAGGCCTACCAAGGGCTGGTGCAGATCAGGGATTGCCTCTATTGCTATTTTGGTCCTTTGGTAGCCAATCATGACTGTGCCATGAAGGCAGGGCTCTGTCCTCCCAGCATCCATACAGGGTGTGGCCACTCCATAGTGTCTTTTGAGAAGTGCCTTCCGTGGACTCTCCAGGGCTGTGGGCCTGATATCTTGCTTTGGTTTCTTAAGTCTTCCAATTGTTCTACTTTCAACTCATTATTGCTAATGTCTGGGGACAGTGCACACAGGACTGTACTATTAGAAAACCAAATTCTGCTCTATCAAGATGCAAAATTATCAGAGCATAAAGCAGGTTAGGAGGAGAAGATTGATGAGCCAAGGTCCCTCGAAAGTAAATGAGGGGAGTTTTCTTTGCCAAATTACTTTTAGTTATTACACACACTTATTTTCCAAGACATGGCTACCCTGTTGGTCTTTGCTGCCTAGGGCTGAAAGGATGGGTTACTAGGGCTTGCAGGTCATGGGGGGCTTTGCAGAGTGGGGGAAGTGGGGGTGGGGTTATGAGATTTGGCTCAGTGAGCCTTGGCCAGCAGATGGGTCTTCAGCTGGCTGTGGGGAGATGGCAGCTTTGGACCTGGTTGTAGGGCAGAGCCCAGTTCTCCCAGCAGGCAGCCTTCCCAGAAGGACTCCACTCCAACTCCAGAGCCCGAGCAGCACAGGTCTTGGAGAGACTGGGCAAACAGGGATGTTCTGGCCAGGTGTGGCCCTGCAGGATTTCTTTGGCACCTCATTCTTGCCACAGCGGGGACAAGGGTGGCATTGGAGACTGGCTGCAAATGGAAACTATAAGGCACATGGACATATTAGTCGTATCTTTGGGGACCTCACAGGTTAGCAGGGAATGTATTCATTCATGAACATGTTTATGAGGGGTTTTAATTTGTTTTAATTTTATTTATTGGACTGGCAAGATAGCTCAGCAAACTAAGTGCTTGCTTAGGCAAATGCAGGGACCAGGGTTCAATCTCCAGTGAGCCCCCCCCAACATGCTGTGCCAGCCCCGCCCTATGGTGCACTGAGCCAGTGACTGAGACCAGTCCAGGTGTGGTGGTGCATCCCTGTAATCCCAGCGCTGGGGAGGCTGAGACAGGAGCATCATTACAAGTCTGAGCCGTGTAGTGAGAGACTCTGTACCAAATAAATAAAAGAAATATTTTATTTATTTATCTATGTATTTGGTACAGGTTCTCACTATGCAGCTCTGACTCATAGTAATCCTCCTGTTTTCAGCTTCCCCAGTGTTGGGATTACAGGTGTGTGCCACCACACCTGGTTTTGGTTGGCAAGCATGGCATGTGGTACCAGGGATGAATTTGGGACCTTGAGCTTGCTGGGCAGGTGCTTAGACCATTGGGCCATCTCCTCAGCTTCTACGAAGGGTCTTAACAGAATGTCTATTCCTTCAGATGAGTCAGTAGGGCCTGTGCTCCCCTCCTGGGGTGAGCACTCTGGCAGGGCACCCCTGACTGTCAGCAGGGTTAAGGAGTGGCTGCCCAGAGCATTGCATTCAGCGCTCACAGCGTGTGGGGAAGAGCATTTGAGGAGGTGGGGACGGCAGACACAAAGGCCCAGGGGCATGAAGCTCCATGAAGTATCTATGGGTTACTGTGGAGGACACCAGCAGAGACTCCAGAGGAGGGATGAGAGGAGGAGGCAGAAAGACAGGCTCAGGCTCGGACCACCTGGAGAAACACCTGGACTTTATCTTTGAGACCAAGGGAGTCACCAGAAGGGAGACATTTGTCACATGATGCCCTGCAGACTGTTGGGTTCTGTTGGGAGGTGGCAGGGTCCTGATTTCACACTCCTCACTGCACAGAGGGTGTTGTAAACTGTGCTGGCACCATTGTCTCTTAGGGAGGAGGGAGGGCATGGCCTGGTTGCACCACATTAAGCAGCTCTGGGGTCTCTGCTTCAAACCCTGCCCCCCAGGTACACGCACACCAGTATGCTCTTCTGCTTCCCAACTTCCCAGGGGAAACTCACCCAGCAGGGGGCGCTCCTCTCCAGTTTTCCACTCCAGCTCTGCCAGGGCAGTGAGCTAGCCAGAGGGCCCTTTGGCTCTGGTGTTTTTTTTCTCCGATCTCAGGCACTGGACAGGGAGGTGACTTCCCACAAATCCAGCCCCAACTCCTTGGCAGCCTGTCATGAGACCAGCATTTGGTCACTTGAGGAAACTGAGGCTTCCATTACCATGGCAAGACCATTATAAGAATGCCTGGACCAGGTGGGACTTAACAAAGTACCTACTATGTGTCTGGAACTGGGCTCAAACTTGTGATCCCTCTGCCTCGTCTCCCAGAGTGCTGGGATGACAAGCATGTGCCAACCATGCCTGGCTCAAATTTCTTTCTGGGAGATAAAATGTTCTAAAATTAGATTATGGTGACAGTTATACAACTGTGAATACTGAAAAAAAAAAAAAACCAACCCCATTAATTGTAGACTTTATTTATTTTTTTTTTAATTTTTATTTATGAGAGAGAGAGAGAGAGAGAGAGAGAGAGAGAGTGTGGGGTGTGTGTGTGTGGCCAGCTCAGCCCACCAGGGGGCGGGGCTGGCTGGCATGTGGTGCTGGGGGATTGAACCGCGGTCCCCGATGCTTTGCCAAGCTTGTTCTAAGTAGGTGCTTTAGACCACTGAGCCATCTCTCCAGCCCAATTGTAGACTTTAAATGGGCTGATTTTTATGGCATACAAATGACAGCATAGGAAACTTTTTTTTTAAAGGACCTTCCTCGTGTTGGTGAATTGGAGGGGCAGGAGGGATACCAGAGGCTAGTGTGGTCTCCAGTGGGAGGTGATGAGCTGGGCTGGGGTGGTGTGGATGCTTGAGAGGCTGGAAGAGCAGGGAGTGTGTGGGAGTCACAGCAGAGACTTGCCGATGGCTCCAGGTGGGCAGTGAGAGGATGGATGGTACCTGCTTGGGCTTGAGCTCAGGTAGCTGGTGGTGCCATCCCATGGGGAGGGAGCCCAGAGTGGCCAGTGCAGGGGTGCATCAGCCTGGCTAAGCCACCCTTGTAGGGATGCTGAAGAGGAGGTATTAAGAACATCTGTGTGCTGTGAGCTGTAGGGAAGGCGTGGGCAGAGGGCTGGGCCAGTCTACAAATGACAGCGAAAGCCACAGTGTCCATGAGATCATCAAAGAAGGGAAAGGAGTTACCTTTGGCTTGTGCGGGCACAGGGGCCTCTGGCCTTGCGGCATTGAGTGGTTTTGTTGGATTCATGGGCCCTGGGTTGGGTACCGATTAGGCAGAAAGTAGGTTGTTCTTAAGGGTCCCAGCAGGCCCAGGTTGGCTCTTGAACTGTTCCTAAAGAGAGAGATTTGTTTCTTCAGGTTAGGAAAAGCTGCTGGGTCCCTGCCTGAGCCTCCCTGGCTTGGGAGACACTTTTGATCCTGGATGCAGACATTATGTTAAGTCAGGTACCGAGAGACTAATACTGCATATTCTCATTTATCTGTGGAAGCTAAAAAGTTGATCTTGGAGAAGTAGAGGGGGGGCTGGTGAGATGGCTCAGTGGTCTAAAGCACCTACTTGGAACAAGCTTAGCAAAGCAAAGGGACCGCGGTTCAATCCCCCAGCACCACATGCCAGCCAGCTCCGCCCCCTGGTGGGCTGAGCTGGCCACACACACAATAAATAAATAAATAAATAAATAAATAAATAAATAAATGTTTAAAAAAAAAAAAAAAGTAGAGGGTAGTGGTTATCAGCCTGGAAAGGGTGTGGGAGAAGGAGGGCTGGAGAGCGGGTCGGTAGTGGGGACAGCGGTGCCACTGGGGAGCAAGAAGAGCTCCCAGCGTTGTGTGGCACGGTAGGCTCTCAGCTCGCTAGCAATTAATTATTTCAAAAATAGCTAATAGTGAGGATTCTGAATGTTCCCAAC